ACGATGCTCTGCGACGTCTGCGAGCAAGGCCGCCTCCGTCTTCTTGGGCGGCATGTTGAAATGTCGGGATATGCGGTTTGCAACGGCGAGTGAAGCACGCAGCGTTGGCAACAGGAAGCAAAGCCAATGCGGACTGAGCCTCAATCGCTACGGTGTCAGCTGGTCTCAGCTGGTCACCTCGGGGTATGGTGGTCTCAGCTGGTCTCTCCCGCTCCATCCTGCTTACCGCTGCTCTCAACTGCACTTTCATGCCTTTTGCCGCTCCGTGGTGGTTTCTGCTGGTCTCTGCTAATGCATCCTGCTCTCTCTTGGTCTCTGCTGCTCTCTGCTGCTGCATGTGAGTCTCTGCTGCTGATGCTATGCTGGTCTCAGTTCTTGTCTGCTGCTCTCCGGTGCTCTGTTGTGCTCTCTGCTGGCCACGGGTGGTCTCAGATTTTGGCTGCTACTGTCAGCTGTGCTGCTCCCTGCCGGCAGTGAGAGGCAGCGGATGGGCACGATATTTTCGACGGCCCGGGCATCGCAGGCAATCCGGGATGGAGATCGACGACGGAGGCGAAAGCGGAAGGGAGAATGCTGGCGCGCAGGCCCTGTCATTTTTGAAGTGGTCGGTAGCTCCGCCGTCTGCCCCCGCCCGGACGGGCGCCGCGCGCAGGATGCCGTCAGGACAACCCGTCGGGCCTGCGGGAGAAAGCGCGAGGGCGGCGACAGAAGGGAGAGACAAAGTGCAAAATCAATACCGTCGGGACAACCCCTCAGGCGAGACCAGCGGCGATGGGCGCTGTGTCACGGGCGCCTCGCGAGACGGCGCAGGGTCAGCCGAGTCAGCGCGAACTCGCGCCAGTGCCAGCGCGCGCCGTTGGGGCAACCCCGCGGGCGCGGCTGGGGCGGCGACAGAAGGGAGAGACAAAGTGTAAAATCAATACTCAATACCGTCGGGACAACCCCTCAGGCGAGACAAGCGGCGATGGGCACTGCGTCGCGGGCGCCCTCGCAAGACGGCGCAGCGTCAGCCGAGTCAGCGCGGGCTCGCGCCAGTGCCAGAGCGCGCCGTTGGGACATCCCCGCAGGCACGGCTGCGGCTCGCGCGCGAGCTCTCACTCCAGTCGGCGACGCGTCGCCAGGGATGATGGCGTTGACGCAGCGTCGGGGGGCGAGAAGGCGAGGTCCCGCATGCGCTTGAGCGGCGTGGCGTCGGGCGCGTGCGCGATGAGCGCCGGGCCGCCGGACCCCTGCGCGCTGGCCATGAGCTTGACCATGCTGGGCAAGAGCTCGGGGACCACGGCCTTGTGCGACAGCACATCGAACGTCCCGCGGCCGGAGCCCTTATCTGTCCGCAGCATGGCAGTCACGAGGTGCGCGTCGCCGTGCCCGGCCGTCAGGAGCCACTGCACGTCGCCGGCGACACCGGCCGTCTTAACGCAATACGTGTCTTCCTTTTCAGACTGGAACCCGCAGCGCGCGAGGCGCTGCACGCGCAGGCCGCGATTCTCTGCGTCGGGTGTGGCCACCGTCTCCGCTTCCGTGGGCCTCTGCATCACCAGCAACACGCGGACCGCCTGGACCTCCAGGTGACGGACGAGCAGCAAGCCGAGCGAGTCGTCCGAGCTGACGTCCGAGCACGCCGCGAACGGGCAGGCGCCGCCCGTCTTCACCGCCGGCGGCGCCGTCACCTCCGACCACGTCGACACGACGCCGTCGGGCGTCAGCGTCGGGACAATCCGCTTCACCTCGAGGTAGTTGACATTGGTGACATCGTTTGTCTTGAACACGCACCGCAGCGTCCACGGCGTCGACCGAAATGCCGCAGCGCGCACGCGGCGAGCCTGGGCGTCCAGGGGCGTGCCCGAATCGCCGAGCACGTCGAGGGTGGACGCTGCGTCGTGGTACAGGACGGCGGAGCCTCCGCCGGTGTGGTCCGCGATGCCCAGCTTCAGGAGCCACCGCATCTCAGTTCCCGCTTCGGGGTGGCTGCCACACGTGTCCTGGTGGTCGGGAATCTTCTTCTTGCACTCTGCGCAGCTCTTGATCTGCCAGTCGCTGTCGGCGGAAGCACCTGCCACGCCCGTGACGGCGACGCAGTGGAGCTCGAAGACCCCAGGCAGGTCGCGCGTCTGGAAAGGCACGGGCACCGACATGAGGCCACTCACCGTGCTCGCCATGGCGGGCACCGTGTCGTAGTCCACGGCATGGTGCTGCTTGGTGAGGGACGTGGCCGCGTCGGCACCCTCGGAGATGTCAGTCGCGGCGCGAACAGTCTCCGCTTGAGCTGCAGGACAAGTCGTGACCTCCGTGGCCTCCGTGGCGAAGATCTCCCAGGACCCGTTGCGCTGCTTCACATTCAGTTGCATCAGCGCGATCACGGAGCCGACGGGGAAGGCGGCCAGAGTCGCGGCATGGTCTCGCCAGAATGCGCAGCGGATGTCGTGGCGCCCCTGCTTGATCACCGCGTTGCAGACGCCTGCTCGGCCGTGCTGGGTGTCGCGCTCCACGACGCCCGGCTGGTGAGACACGACGCCGACCGCGCACACCTGCGTTGTATCGGTCACTCTGCCCAAGCTGGCAATCTCCGCGAACGGGTGATGCAGGGGAACGTCCACCCACGGGCTTTCGGTGCACTCCTGGATGACCGTGTTGACTCCCAAGGGCGGCTTTACCCGCAAGAAGTACGACAGCCGAGAAGTGGAGTACTTCGGGGTCTGGTTCACGACGGTCCCGCCGGACACGCGGTAGACCCTGCCCAGCTCCATGGCGGCATGAACTTGGGCGGCGGCGTCTGCCCATCCGTCAAGGAACAGGACGTCGCCCACAGTGTCACCGCCGAGCATGTGCACTTCGATCTTCCTCCCCGGCTCTCTGTCCTTTTCAGCGCGTTTGCCCTTGGCCTTGCCCTTGCCCTTCCCATCCGCTTGGTTGCCCACTTCCACCGGGCCTCGCTTGATGACGACGCGCCCGAGGACGCACGTGGCGGGATCGCCGGAGAACTCTCGCGGAGACAGAGCGAGCTTGCTGTCCGCCATGGTCAGCGGCAACGCCGGACTGAGATGGAACGGGGGTGCTGGCCACAAGATGCTTGAGCCAAATGCGCTGCGGAAGCTCTGGCACGGGGTCGAGGCTGACAGGGGCCCCCAGCTCTCACTTTCCTCTCCCATCCTTCTCGATCAGTCGAATAATATCGAGACGTGAGGCGCGCGGCTGCGCGTGCGTGCATACTCGAGACGGCGCGAATGCACCAGAGCACAACGAAGACGGCTCCCCCGAAAAGACGTTAGTATCCGAATCAGAAAACCATAATAACATGGTGGTGAGCGGGTCCGGCGGAAACCCTCGTGTCAGATGTCACTCGGCGGAATCGACAACCACGAGGGAGCGGAGACCTCGATTAAACGGGACAGGCAACGGATATGACAGTGGCGGGTGGGAGGGCGCGCAGGAGCCCCATTTGCTTTGCCGACTCAAACACTGGATGCATTGGCGAGACACTCAGACCGTGAATACTGCCGTCGGGACAACCCCTCAGGCGAGAGACGTAGCAAAGGGGTCTATGCCGCCGGAAGCAAGACAGCGCGCTGTGCAGGTGGAGAAAAAAAGCGTCGGGACAACCCCTCGGCCGAGTAGCGACCTGCGAACAAGCGTTTCCAGATCACTCAATCTCCCGCCAGCAATGGCGAATCCCAGAGAGCCCCAGTGGGAAATCGCCGCAGTAATGCCAGACTCCCCAGTCAGTCTCTCCATCGGACCGATGCACCACCTTGTGCAGCATTGGCGCGAAGGCGTACTCCCTGGCGGCGGGCGTCACGGTGAGGTCCGCGAGAGCGCGGGCGCTGAACTCCACCTGTAGCAGCACGTGCTTCACCTTTGAGACAAAAGCGCCACTCCTCTGCTGCACTATGCGAGCGCGCTCCATGGCCTGCGTCGGCGACGTGCGGAAACCAACGCACGGAGTGGACCCCATCAAACGCCGTGGAATCTGCGCCCCGTGCTCAACGGCGGGCTGGTCATCCTTATGCACAGCGACGAACAGAACGAGCACGGTGGTGTCACCCATCTCGAAAGGCATGGCGGGCGAGACGCAGGCGCACCGCGACTGCTTTCTGCTCTGGCAACGAGACCCACACGAATCTTCCCATTTGAGCCCATCACAACGGCGACGGAAACGAAACAAACCCATTTGAGCCCATCACAAGCCCATCACACCCCCAGTCTCCGCTGTTCTCTGTTGTTGCCTGTTGTTGTCTGCTGCTCTCTGCTACTCTCTGCTGCGCCCTGCAGGTCTTCGCTGTTGGTTGCTGCATTATGCCGCTCCCTGCTGCTCTGGGCTGTTGCCCGGTGCCTGACGTCAAGATGCCCCTGGGAGCTCCGGAGGCTCCCAGAAAACACAGAAACGATCGAAACTATCAAGCAAGACCTCAACCACAACGGTGTCAGCTGGCCAGCTGCTGGCCTCAACTGGTCTGTCCTGGTCTCTCCCGCTCCCTCCTGCTTCCCGCTGCTCTCTACTGTTCCATGCTGTTGTCTGCTGCTCTCGGTTGATCTCAGCTGCTCTTTCATGCTTTTTGCCGCTCCGCGTTGGTTTTTGCTGGCATTTGCTATTGTATCCGGCTCTCTCCTGGTCTCTGCTGCAGATGCTGTCAGGACAACCCATCGGGCCTGAGGCGTGAAGGAGCGGGGCAGCGAAACAGCGCATGGGTGGCGACGAGAGCGAGAGGATATACAAAAACGCATATGCCGTCGGGACAACCCCTCGGGCAAACGTTTGAAAGGCGAAGTCCACAAGCGGGCGGCAAGGGGGGAGGGGCAGCGAAGGCTCGGCGGCAATGCATTCAGCGAGCGCGCTGCCCGTCGGAACAACTCCTCGGGCCAGCAGCGCGCGCGCGCGCTCAAGACAGCCATCAACGCGCAACCTGCCGGAACAACTCCTCAAGGATGCAGCGGGCTGTCGCCGCGGAGGCAAGCCGTTGGGACAACCCCGCGGGCACCCTCGCACGCGGCTGGCATGCGCCTCACTCGAGCTCGCTCAGGTAGCCGACGCCGTGCCGCTTCTCTCCCAGGTGTGATGTGTCTGGCCGCAAGGGCTCCACCAGCCAGCCCGCGTCGCTGCGGGGGCCCAGTGCCTGGCCCGCCACCCACCCCATCTGCGCCATCATGCGCGCACCGACATTATCGGGGAGCGGCGTGCTGAGCCCGGCCTCCCTCGCAACCATTTCTGCGTCGCGGCGGGCCGCCTGTGGTGCGCGGCGCTTCCCTGGCAGCTCCGTCAGCTCCGGCGCCTGTTCTCGTAGGAACTCTGCCACCTCTGCTGCGCCGTCCACGCCCTTGCTCGCCGCCCACGTCGCCCAATCCAAAGCCGTGTACCCCATGTTCTCCGACTTGGTGCGGGGGTCCAAGGCTTCCTCATTCACATAGTACTGGGCGCACGTCTTGCACCCCTCTGCGGCGGCCTGGTACATCCAGCACACTCGGCTGCCGCGCCGCTTCCTGTTGGGCGGATGGGGCGCGCCGGGCATGCAGGGCGGCCGCGCGTCAGGTGGCAGGGAGGCCGCCGCGATGTGGCCGCTGCCGCCACCACTTGGGCAAGCGCCGCCGTCGCCGACGGCGCGCAGGCGTGTCCGGAGGAAGTCGGCGACGGCAGGTGCGCCGGCGACGCCGCGCGAGTGAGCGTGGATGGCAAAGTCGAGGGCCGTGAACTTCTGCGTGGCAGACAGGGCGCCGGGATCGACGTTCTCCACGTCGAGGAAGTGTTTCACGCAAGGGAGACACCCGTCGCTGGCGGCCTGAAACAACCAGTACTCCCGGTTGTCACGCCTCGCCTTGGACGGAGCGTGGGAAGCGCCGGGAGTGCATATTGCGACGAGAGGCAGGTCGGCGCGCGGCCGGAGCTGGGCGCTGGCGGAGGATTCCCAAACAGGACCGGAGTAACAAAGGATCTGCGGATCGCACTACATCGCCGATGCATCGGCGAAGTCAGGATGGAGGGAACCCGGCCCCGCATCTCGCCGCATCACTGATGCATCAGCGACGCGGCGTCCTGTGACCCCCCCTACTTCGACCCTATCTGGGAAGCCTGGAGCTGGGGCCAAAGGAGCTCTGGAATCGTGAGCCAGGAGGCCGGGTGAGGGGGTACGCCTGGGACGCCACGGCAGAGAGGCGAGGCAGACTCGTTGCTATATCTGCTCATTGCCAATCGGCCCTCCCAGGGCGCTCTCGGACCCTTTCCAGGTGCGCCGCCAGATTATCCCGAAGGGTCTCGAGGCTGTCTGAGAATGCAAAAGGGTTGTTTTGCGTTGTTTGGGCTTCTCGTAACAGCCGCGTCCTCGGCCACCTGGAAAAGCCTCGAGACTAATAATTCCGAAACGCGACAGAGAAACAGATGACTCTGACCCATGGGAGACCGCGGCCTCTGCCAACACGCACCGTGCTGTTCCCCCTCTCCACGAGCTCAGAGTTTTTTCGAGGGGTCGCAGAGGAAACAACGAGTGCCGCGCGCTTCACATGCCACCCATCAGAACAACTCCTCAGGGCGATCGTCGGCGCGGCGCTCGCTGCGCACGCCGCCCATCAGAACAACTCCTCAGGGCGGTCGTCGGCGCGCGCTGCGGCCTACCTCGGCGGCAAGGCAGCCGCGCTCAGCGCGCCCAAATCGGACGTGTATACCGCGGCGACTGCGCCCACCAAGCCAGCCGTTTCCTCTTCGGTCACGTAGAAGCCCGCGGCCTGCGGCGACGAGAACCAATCGCAGCGGCGAGGGCGTTCGTCGGCCGCGGGCTCCATCCGATGCCCCGCGTGCCTCGCGGGCGCCGTTGACAGGCCCCGGCGGAGGTGCGCGTCGAAGATGGCCAGTCGCTCCTGCGGCGTCATCTGGAACCACCTCCCGCCCGCTGCCTTGGTCAAGCCCTTGGCGTGGCGACCAATGAACTCCCCCTCGCCCGCCGCGGTGAGCAGCCGAGGCTTCGGGTCGGCAATGCGCTCCCGGAATCCTGTCGTCTTCGCAAACTCGCCAAGGAAGACACGCGCCAAGTGCGCCGCCGCCGAGAAGCTCTTTCTGTCGATGGCGTGGGGGGCCACGTCCGGCACCCAGACGTTTTCGCGCTGCCGGTCCAGCAAGGGCATCGACCTGTCGGTGACCTTGAGGCCGTGCAAGTAGAGCTGCGACACGTGGGCGATGTGCCGGCGCGACGCCTCAGACACCATTGGGGCGGGCGTTGGAGAGACCGGAGGCGTGTCGTGGTAGAAGTTCAGCGGCGGCTCGGGGAGCCTCGGCCTCTTCGGTGGGCCCTCTGAGAGCGAGGCGGCCAGTGCCTCGCGAACGGCCGGCGGCGGCGGCCCCGGCGGCCCCGCCGCTGCGGCCGCGGCGCCGTGCCTCTGCAGCGCAGGCGGCGGAGCGGGCTCAGGGGCAGCCGCTGGCGCGCCAGGGGCAGCCGACGCGGCGGATGGCGGCGCCTCGCCGGCGGTCCGCTGCGGCGACCCCGTGGCAGGTGCGGGCTCGGTGGCGATGCGCCTCCGGCCCGCCTCGGCCGCGGCTGCCGCAGCGGCAAGCCCCGGCGACGTGGGCGGCGGGGCGGGCTTGGGAGCAGCCGCTGCCGACCGATGTGCTGCCGACCCGGCGATGGGCGGCGCCTCGCGGGCGGCCCGCCAGCGCCGCTGAAACGGCTCCGCGACGGGCGCGGGCTCGGCGGCGACGCGCGTCGGGCCCGCCTCGGACGCGGCTGCCGCAGCGGCGAGCATCGGCGACGCGGGCGGCGGGGCGGGCTCGGGAGCAGCCGCTGGCGACCCGTGTGCAGGTGACGCGGCGAAGGGCGGCGGTGCGTAAGCGGCCCGCTGCGGCGGCTCGGCGGCAGGGGCGGGCTTGGCGGCGACGCGCGTCGAGCCCGCCTCGGCCACTGCGGCCGCGGCGGCGGGTCTCTGCGACGGGGGCGGCGGGGCGAGTTCGGAAGCGGCTGCTGGCGCCCCGGGAACCAGCGACCCGGGGCCCCTGTGTGACGCCGCGGGAGGCGGCGGCCCTGCCGGCGGCAAGACGAGCTGCCGCTGCTCCCGCGTCTCGTCGCCTGGCGGGCCCGCGGCCAGGGCGTCCCGCAGCTTGGCCAAGTCTCCCGGAGTCGGGAACCACGTGCAGCACGACCACCAGGCCTGAACTGCAAGGCCCGCGCGATGGATCTCATCCCGCCATTGCGCGGCAAAGCGCCCACCAGACTCGAAGAACCGCGCGCGCACGAGCTCCTTGATCACGCCGTTCTTGCCGGCAATTGCAGCTTTCATCCGCTGCCTCGCCGTCTTGTGCGGCGCCGGCTCGTGCCCTTGCCAGTCCACGAGGACGACTGCCGCGAGCTCTCCGAAACGGCCCATGGCACCGAGGTTGTCGAAGTGCCAGTCGGACGTCTCGTAGCAGAGCTCGTCGCCCGCGAGCCTCACCATCTCCTCGATGGTTTTGGCGATGAGAGCGCGTACGTGGCGAGCGCTGGCAGCGTCCACAGGAATCTCGGCCAGGCTCGTCATCAGCTCGGCGAACGAGAAGCTCGCCCGCTGCATTAAGAGCACTTGGAAGGGCCAGCCGCCCACCTGGACGTCGAAGCACCCGTGCAACGCAGGCGTCGGAAGCGCCGGATGCCTCAATGCCAGGTCGTACTCCTCCCGATTCGCGGCAGACCCCTGCTGACCTCCGTGAGAAGTCCCCAGCGCCAGGTGGGTCTTCAGAACGAGCTCCCGCGACGCGCGCACGTACGCGTCGCGCCACGCCCCGTGGTGCAGGAACTCGAAGGTCAACTCCTCTGTTGCTCCGGTGTCCCACGTGACTGTGGCGGTCAATTGCCCGGGCAAGCGGCTCCTGGGCGCCTTGAAGCCATCCTGCCTCGGAGCGCAAATAACCACCTTGCTGGCGAGAGACATGGCCAGCGGAAAGATCTGCCGTCGGGACAACCCCTCAGGCGATCAGCGCAACAGCACCGCTCTCGCAAGGCAAAGTGTGAAACTCGAGCCAATGGTTTCCTGTGCGGTTGCGCAATGCGCGGGTTCCTGCTGGCCCCCGTGTTTTTGCTGACGCTCCCAGCTTTGAAAATGAGCTCTTCCCCTGGATTTGGTCTGGGCGGGGACGCGCGACGCGTTAGAGTGTCGAAGATGGCCCGAAACTGCTCTAAGATGGCACTGTATGGTCCCAGATGACATCCAAGATGGCACTGTGCTGCCCAGGTTAGAGCCATATGGTTTCGAAGATTCCTGGGACCTCCAAGAACGCCTCCGAACAAAAATCCCACCCGCACTCTAAGCTCAGGTGGTCCAGCGCGTTTCCTCTTTCAACCTCACTCTTCCCCTTCGGGGGGGGGCCGTCGCCCCTCGCCCCGCCCCCTCTCCCTGGGTCCGGTCGGGGGGGGCCGCGACCCGTGGGAGCGTCCAAGATTGCCGAAGATGTCATTAACGTGGCCACAGATGACTTCCGAGATTGTCCACAATGACTCAAAATGTTTTCAACGCACTCGAAGAACTTCCAAGTGCGCTCACCCACGAGCCCAAACGGCTTTGTTGCTCCCCCCACAGAAGAGCCACGGGAAGCCAAACGCTTTCACAAAGTGAATAAAATTAATGTTTGTGTGTTGTTTTACTTCTTCGCTTCTCATGGCCTCTCCCAAACTCAAGATAGCTCCAAGAGGGTTGTCTGCAGCGCTGGTCTGCCGCGTTGCTCTGATGTGCCGTGCTCGTCTGCCGTGCCCTGTCCTCTGCTGCGCTAGAGAGGACGCGTTTTTACGGCAGAGACGCAAGTTCCCAGCAGGGGTTGGGGCCTCTGTTGGCTGGGGCCTATGGGCTGTGTCGAAGGGGCCTCAGTGGGCAGCGCAGCGGTCTCTGCCTGTCCTCCCTCGTGCTGCAATTCTCTCCTCAGTGGTCTTTACTGCCCGCTCTCTGTTGGTGTCTGTTGGTTCTGCCTGTACCTGCTGGTGTATGATGACCTCTGCCGCCGTATGCTGGTGTCTGTTCATCCTGCCAATATCTGTTGGTGCTTGAAGATCTCCGATTGGCCCAAGTGTGCGCCGCACGGGTATTTCTGGAGGCCCAAAGAGCAGTCCAAGCAGGAGTGGATGCCGACATGTCAAACATGTCCTGGGTCGTGAACAGCCAGATGCCGTTTGCAGTGCGGAGATGATGAGTTCGGACCACGTTTGCAAATTATGTACAATTGAAATCCCCTGACGGAGCAATGGAGACCACGAAAGTTCCCCGGAAAACCTAGCGGAGTTTTCCCGGACCACAGACCCGCCCCTAAAAAACGGACTTACTTCATCTCTTGGGACTCTTGTGAGAATGCCTGAAGCCACCTTCGGCACGAGGCCGTTCCGGACTAGCCGAGAGGGTTCCCCCTTCCGGGAATAAAATGAATGCCGATGTTTCGTTTTGATGTTGTTCTCGCTGGGCGCAGAGCGGAGAAGAGAGCGGGCGCCTCGGGCAGGGTCCTGCGAAAAACCTAAATGATCTCGCGCCAGAACGGCGTCGAGCCGTTCGACGGGCGATGGAGCTCAAACACTGGTCGGAGACCCTTGACTAGAGTTTTATACACGTGCACGCTCTGCTCGTAGATGTCGCCCCACAGCTCTGTGGCCTCGATGAAGCGCACGAAGAGAACCACTGAGGGCTGATGAGCAGCGTTGCGAGCCCGCAAATATACGTCCAAGGTTTTTTTCTCCTTCTCGGTCACGACCGTTTCAAGCCTCTGAAACTTCGTGTCATTGCCCAGGAAGGCGGCCGTGTGCTGCTTCACTGTATAGCACGGCTTCTCTGGCACCCGCAGCTCCACCTTCGCCAAAGTCTTGCCCGCCCTACTCTTGAAAGGCTCCCCCGCGCTCAAGAGGCGCCCATACTCAAAGTCGGACGCTTTCTTGTTCGCCGCCTGTCAGCGACGCGTAAAAATGGCCCCTAGCAACGTTGGCAACCTTTGGCGCGAGGCTGTCAAGGGGGCCGTCGCGCATCAAGGGTTGCCCATGCTGCCTGGTGTCATTTACGCGTGCCCCATCCTGGACTGCGCGGTCGCCTGCTTCCGCCGGCGTCAGCAGCCGAGGCTTGCCCTTGCCGTCGGAGCTCTTGCCTCCTCCCTTGCCGTCGGGGCCCTTGTTGTTGGAGTCCTTGCCTTCCTTCTTGCCTTTCCCGTCAGCTCCGGATCCGGCTCTGCCCTTGGCGTCGCAGCTCTTGCCGTCGGCGCCGTTGCCGTCGAAGCCCTTGCCTCCCCCTTTGCCGTCGTCGCCCTTGCCGTCGGAGCCCTTGCTTTCCCCCTTGCCTTTCCCGTCAAGCCGGAACGCCACGAAGGGCGGGCTCCTGCTCCGCGGCATCCGCGCCGGCGCTAGCGGTGGTGCGGGCGCCGGCCGGGGCAACGCCCCGGGGGGCAAGGGCGCGCGCAGGGGCGGGGCCGGCGCCGCGGCGAGCACCGCCGCAACGCTGGCCTCGCGCGCATCGGCGCGCTGGGCTGCCCGGCGCTCCTTCTGCGCTCTTCCCATGCAGGGCAGAGAGGAGCGCCGGGCAGCCCAGTGGAGGAAGGACTCGAGCCTTAGGGCGGACGCCGACATGAAACACAGTATTCGGACCCCAGGACCCCGCCGCGAGGCGATACAGTGGGAGCTTCGCCATAAGAAGCCCTCCACAAAGAAGCCCAATCCTGGAACACAAGGCTTCCCATCGATTTGTGGTATGGGAGCCTGCGGGAGCCTACGGGCATGGAGACAACTCGCCGCATGAACCATGACGGCCCTGTGGCCCTGACCCCGAGTCGATCGTTGAACCTTGAACGATCGGGCGGCTCCCAAAGTGACCGATACTTCAACATTGAACGATCGAGAGCCACCGGCGGCGTTCAACCTTGAACGCCCTCGAAGGGGTCGCCGCCGCGCCAACGCCGCACGGACCTACCGTACTCCTCCTCCTCCTCTTCCTCCTCCTCCCTCCTCCTCTTCCTCCTCCTCTTCCTCCTCCTCCTCGGTTTCCTCCTCCTCCTCCTCCTCCTCCTCCTCCTCGGTTTCCTCCTCCTCCTCCTCCTCCTCCTCCTCCTCCAGGGAAGGGCGGGGAGGGAAGGGCTGGAGAATCAACTTACCCAGCTGATGTTCCTGGCGTCTCCCGGCGCCCGAGGCGGCCATGCATCGAGGAAGGGGCCCCTCGCGGAGGACCCAAAGCCAGCTGCGCTCGGAGGAGAGGCGGTGGGACAGCGCTGGCCAGATCGGCTCTAGATCCGTGCCTGAACCCCTCCCAAGATCCAAACGCACTGGTTTTTCAGGAGGAGGAGGAGAGGAGGAGGAGAAGGAGCAGGAGGACGAGGAGGAGGAGGAGGAGGAGGAGGAGGAGGAGCACGAGGAGCACGAGGAGGAGGAGGAGGTCCAAACGCGCGAGGACAGAAGAACATTCATGAAGAACACTAGCCCTTCCGCTGAGGAAACAGGATAACATTCGAGGGTGCCCTCCGCCAGGTGGCACAATTACACCCCCAAAAAGTGGAGAACATTAGCAACCCTCCCCCGAGCAAGGAAGATCTTAACCCT